TGGGTGGGGTACACTTGGGGGATCTGCCCTGGGAAGACCAGTTCCCCCTCTCAGGCTCTGCTCCTCCCTTGGCCCTGCAGCCTTGCCCCTCCATCTCCGTCCCACCCCCTCGCCACGCTCCCTCCCCTCATCCTTAGGCATATCCCACATTCAGGACCATCGCAGCCACTCCTACTCCCCCCATCACACGTTCCCATGCACAAATGTCTGTCCATATTACCTTCAGAGAGGCCTTACCACCTCTGAGAGCACTCCTGCCTGGCAGACTGTCCAGACTTATCTACGATGGTCACATCCCTCTGCCCTCACCCACCCGGGACACCGCTGAGTCCATTGGCTCCCCAGCCCCAGGCCCCCACGCACTCGCACACATACACTCACATTCAGACCTGTGCCTTCCTCTTCCTTTTTTTCAGCTGAAGGGCCCTTTACCATCTCTTCCTCTGCCCATCTGGGTGGAGAGGCCTGAGCTGCCCCCCTGAGCGGTCCAAGCCCTCCCTGACACTGGCCCATTCCCTACCTCTGCCTCCATTCCCCGAGGCCAGGGCAGGCTGGCCTTGTCTCCTTGACCCACACTCCTCTCCTTCCCCAGGAGATCCCGTTCTATCACATTTGGAGTGGCAGCCAGAAGGCCCTGCACTGTACCTTCACCCTGGAGAGGCACAGCCTGGCCTCCACAGAGTTCACCTGCAAGATCTGTGTGCGGCAGGTGGAAGGGGAAGGCCAGATATTCCAGCTGCACACCACGCTGGCAGAGGTGAGGGCTGGAGGGCTGGGGTGCAGCATGTAGAACCCCATGCTCACCCCACACCCGAGTGGAACCGCGTCTCCCACAAAGGCATGTCCCCCTCAACTCCACCCCCCAAGTCTAAGCTGGGACTTGGTCACTTTTTGCTAACAGCTACTATTTGTTGAGTGCCGACCCTGTGCTTAACATGTACTATACCAAGTGACCTAAATTATCTCACTAAATTTTCATAGCCATCAGGGAGACAAATGCAGTGATTCTCCCCGGGAGATAAAAAGTAGGGTTTAGGGGGGGCAGTACCTTCGACCTTTTACTAGGTCATTGCTTGGCCCAAGCCTGCAGCTCTCCACCACTGTAAGTCTGGTTTTAGGTCCCCAAAAGCCAGCCACCCAGGGGACGGTCCTAGACCCTCCTGGCAGTGCAGTGGAAAGAGCACTGGATATAGGCCTAGGCCCAGTTCTGCCACCAGTTTGACATGTGATCACAGGCCCATCACTTCCCATTCTAGACTTCATTTTCCACATGTGCAAACTGTGGCTGCGACTCCTTATGGCTTTGTAGTCTTGAGGCTGCATTAGCGTTCACCCTGGGCAGTAGGTTAGCATGGTGCACCCCTGAGGGACGGGGTTCAGGCATGCGGCCCTGGCCCTCAGGAGCCCACCTTCCGGGGGAGGTGGGGACTGACTGGAGCCTCCGTGAGCTCATAGTTTCAGGACAGGAAGTCTGGAGGCGCAGATGCCCAGCGTCGTGCACGGGGGAATCTTCTGGCCCTCTCACCCCTACCCCCTGTCCTTCCAGACACCTGCTGGCTCCCTGGACGCCCTCTGCTCTGCCCCCAGCAGCACACTCACCACCCAGCTGGGACCCTATGCCTTCAAGATCCCGCTGTCCATCCGCCAGAAAATATGCAACAGCCTGGACGCCCCCAACTCTCGGGGCAATGACTGGCGCCTGTTGGCGAAGAAGCTCTCCATGGACCGGTGAGTGTTGGGACAGGCCTGGCCCACCCAACTGTGGCCCACTTCCAGCTCCCTTCTAAGTGTGCTAAGCCTGAGACGCCCATTGCTTGAGAAGCGTTGTGCTTACAGAACTGGCCTGTGACAGTCAGATGAGGCCAGGCACCACTAGGGGTGAGCACCAACAGCACCCCAGTGCCCAGGACGGAGCAGGTGCTGGAAATGCTTGCTGAGGGATAGAAGACAGCTTGGTGTCAAAACTCTTTTGGGGAACTTAAAATGCTGGATAAATTCAGTGGCAATAATCATCATCATTGTTATGATGTTATACTTATTGAGAAACCACTTAATAGACCTGCATTGAGCGGATGCCACTTTTAAGACATCTTATTAAAAATGGGTGGGTTTACAGAGATGTCCGAGGCTCTCTTCCTGCTCTCGGGAGCACGTGGGGCGAATCGGGCAGGGAATGAAGGTAGGAGGAAGAGAAGATGGAGTGCTGGGTTTCGACAGTCACCCCCGGGCCTGCGTTTTTCCATGATGATAATGAGATGATGAACGATCGTGAGCAAGACAGTTTCCAGTTTAGAGCTGAGGAGACTAAAGCTCAGAGAGGTGCAATGACTTGCCCAAGGCCACACAGCCTGCAAGCAGAGGGCTGGGACACAGACCCAAGATTGTGGGACCCCAGACCCTGCAGTCTTTCCACCTCCCAGTGCTCTCCCTACGCCCAGGCTTCTGGGAGGTGGTGAGCTTTCGGGCAGCCCAGTATCTTTCTTCCTTTTGCCAGGTACCTGAACTACTTTGCCACCAAAGCAAGCCCCACGGGTGTGATCCTGGACCTCTGGGAAGCACTTCAGCAGGATGATGGGGACCTCAACAGCCTGGCGAGTGCCTTGGAGGAGATGGGCAAGAGCGAGATGCTGGTGGCCATGGCCACTGATGGGGACTGCTGAGCTGCCCCAGACTGTGGGCTGGTAGGGACTGGCAGGAGGCAGGTGCAGGGAGGTCCAGGCAGCCTCCTGTGGGGCAGTTCGGCCTCCGCTGGCCCCAGCTCATAGCTGGAGTCACCCCTCCTCCTTCCTTGCCCCACCTCCAGACCACGACCAGCCTTAGGAACTCCATGGACTCTGGTATCGGAGGACCTGGTGTTCCTTCTCCACCCCTGCTGTCTCTCCTGGCCCTAGACCTTCATGCAGAAACCAGAGTAGGGCTGGGGCCTCCAGAAGCAGATAGGGGAGCAAGGGGGTGGCCCTCCCTCCACCCCTCCCTCCACCTGCAGCCCTGGGACCTCTGGGTTAAGTTGGGTGTAGTTTTGTTCATTTTCCGCCTCAGCTGTTGATTTCCCCCTGCTCCCCAAGTCCCCCCACCCTTCGCACCGTTTTCCTCCTTGAGGAGGAGCCCAGCTCGGACACGCGGCTTTCTCCTCGCGCTGGAGGGAGAGCAGGCAGGCTTGAGGCCCCCGCGGGCTCCGAGACGAGAAACACCAAAACCGCAGGGAAAGAAAAGCCCAGTTTCTCAGGAAACGCCAACGATTTATTATCCAGATGCTTGGATAAGTCCTTTTTAAGAAAAATAGAAAAAGAAAAAGAAAAACAACACAAAAAAATAGAAAACTCTTTTCTTGAGTGTGGATGAGTGGGCGTGGTCATGGTTCTGCCCAGGAGCCTGTGTGTGTGCGTGTGTGTGTGTGTGTGTGTGTGTGTGTGTGTGTGTGTGTGTGTGTGAGAGAGAGAGAGAGAGAGAGACAGAGACAGAGGCAGAGGCAGAGGCAGAGGCAGAGGCAGAGGCAGAGGCAGAGGCAGAGAGAGCAAATTAGGGACGGAGACTCAATAGGGAACTTTGCTGCTAATGACCCCATCTTATTCTTACAAGGCCTCCGTTTCCCCAGTTGTACAGGCTCAGTGGGGTTTTAGCCTTAAACCCTCTTAAACCTTAAGCAGCCACTGAATCCATAAAGCCAAGGAGCCCTGAGCTCTGGAGTGGAGTGGGTTTCTCCCTGTGCGCCAGGGAGAGTGTTTCCAGTGCCATGATCTGGTGGCTCCTGGAGAGATGAGGCCCAGAAGTGGACCCTGACAGAGAAAGGAGTGGGACATGAGAGTCCCCCATGGACACTTCTCTACTTCAGGTGGGGCCAGCCTGACACCGCCTTGCTAGCAGCCTTTAGAACAGGTTGCTGGAGCAGGCTGGCATTCTCTTGACGCCCAGGAGTCCAGGACTCCCCCTTCCCCAGCCTGTTTCTCCTTCCATAAGACAGAAGGGCGGATGAGAGGGCCTCGCTAGCAGCAGCCTGTTCTGGGCCTCGGTGTGGTTGTGTGCAGCGTGTTAGCAGCAGTCCTGCAGCCTGGGAGGCTGGGAGTGGGTGGCCTGCCTGTGCTGTGCAGCCCTCCGCCCACCCAGAGTGGAAGAGAGGGTGGAGGGCAGTTTCCCAACTCTGATCTCCGCAGGCACCTCCCTCCCTCCTCTCACCCATTCTGTAGTTTGGGAGAACTTGAGGTAGGTAACCTTTGAACAAGAAGGGTTGCCAGAGTGGAGAGGCTGGCACCCCCTCACCAGCCTGTTTCAGGATGTCCTGATGGGCCAGCAAGGTCCCTAATTGGGGAGAGATATGTCCCCATCCCTTTTCAGCTGTCCAACAATGGCTGGGACCAGGCTCCTGCAGCTCGCACAGAGACCTCATCAAAGGCCTCTCCTTGGCACCCAGGCAAAGCAAGTGCCAGCTCCCCTGACAGCTCTGGGCACTGACCCCAGGGCTTGCCCCAGCAGGCCCATGAGCAGCCGCCGGGACCAGCCTGAGCACATCCTGGCCTTTGAAAGTCTGGGCTCCAGGAAGGAAAGCAGATTTTAGGACTACAGTCCCAGCCAACATCTCCAGCCTGGCTTCCCTGCCACCCACAGTACCCCTCAGGGTGAGGGTCAGCCGTGGGCAGATGGGGTCTTGTTCAGAGGTTTGAGAGAGGAGTCCTTGTGCCAGGACTGTTGAGGGACAGGCCTGCATCAGGGGTGGGCTCCTGAGGCTGGGACCCCAGGGCCCAAGTGGATGCTGCCTTGGGCAAAGGCCGTGAGCCTTCTTGCCAGCCTTCCTGCTCACTGGGGCTCAGCCTCCCTGGTCATCCCTAGCCCACGCCACAGGGCCTGGGTGACAGCTTGGAGTTGAGGGCAGTATAACCAGTGCCACCAAGGCTCCACCAGTGCCCTTCCCTCACAGGCTCTAAAATGCCCACGAGCAGCCTGCAGACCAGCGCTCAGTCTTCAGCTTTGCCATTAAACTGTGTGACCTCAGCAATATGATTGCCTTCTCTGAGCCTCATTTCCTTTTAGTACTTAGAAGGCCCCACAGCTGCTGCCTGAGGCCCTTTGGGTTCTGACACTGTCATCCTATGGGTGGGAACCCTAGTGGGTAGGAGTTCCTGTGGTCTGCCTGCCCCACCCTCAGAAGCTTGCTCAGTGCCTGGGACAAGAGCTCTTTGTGGACAAGGCCAGGCCACCCATTTCCAATCTGATTTCTAGAAATTATGTACCAGGGCCTGGCGCACGGAACCAATTGGCTGGAGCCTCCTGGGAAGGTTTACCGTCCGGTTTTATGAGAAAAGCCAAGAAGGGTTTCTTGGCTCCGTCAGTCTGCTGAGGCTACTGCAACTCCATCCCCGCGCTGGCCCCTCAGGGTGGGGTCGAGGCAGCCCCAGGCGCCCGCGCACCGAGGGCAGCAGGTTAGGTACCGCTGCAGGGCCTGTGTGGCCTCGCGCGGGTGTCTGTCTCTCTCGTCTCGGGTGTGTTTGTGCTCACGTGTGTGTGCACGTGCTCTGCGTGTGTGTCCTTTTATTCACACATGGGTGCAGCAGGGCTCCCCTCCGGAAACATGTCGCCACCTGTGTGAGTGTGCCCTCCTCGAGTCCCAAGTTGGGACATGCAGAGGCTGGTGTGCCTGTTTGCTGCCCTCTCTGAGTCCACAGGGTCAGTCGGTGTATCTTCTACGTGCCTCTCCCTCTGCCTTCTCTCGAAGTGCCCCGAAATCCAGAGTCCCGGGCAGGGGCCCTTCTGAGAGCGTAAGAACCTCCCATCTCTTGGATGATCCAGGGCCCTCGGACCCCTTCCCCCAGCAACCAGGCAGCTGAGCCAGGTCCCTTAGCAGGTCCTCTGAGGGAAGGTGATTCAGGAGCTTGGGGTCAGGGAGCAGCTCTCTTGGGGGCAAAGGGCTGGACCCCCCGCCTGGGGGCTGCAGGAATGGCCCCCATCCCATCTCTGTTTATTCTGTAAACTACAACCTGTAAATAACATTTAGCATTCCTATTGTAACAAAATTAATTTTTATGAAATAAATTATATTTCCTAGTCTAATAAACTCCAGGTTATATTCTGCTGTCTTCTAGACTGTCTGTCAGCAATTGGGAATGACCTTCCCATTTTTCTCAAAACTCCAGGGGTTTGGGGGGATGGGGAGGTCACTGTCAGGACTCTGAGCTCCTGGAAAGGATCAAGCTCAGTGCCTCATTTTACAGAAGGGAAAGCTGACCCAGAGAGGGACAAGGACTGCCCATGGTCATACAGCAAGTTCAAGCCCGTGCTGGTTCTGGATCTCAGGCCCTGCTCCCTAGTCAGTGCTCTCAGTGCAAAAGCACCATGTGCAGGGGTCAGTCACTGGGCCTTCCATGGGCTCGGTGATGTGCGGGAGGGACGATAGGAAGCCCCAGTGTCCCTGTGTGCCTGTGAGGAGTTTAGAAGGGTGTATCCCAGCTGGGGCTGAGGCTGAGAGGTAAGACTGACCTGGGACATAAGAAATCGTGCAGGCAGAAAGGGAATGAGCAGCTGGGATCGGGTGACTGGCCCCAGGGCTGTCTCGTGCGCTTGGGCAGGTTACACACTGGACAAGAGTGCCTTAGGGTGCGGGTGGTGCCATTCCCATGGGGATCGTAGATTCATATACTTACTAGATGTTTCCAGCAGGGGGCAGGAAAGGATCTTGTTCTAATAAAATCACATTGGTGTTCATTTTCCCACTGATGGAAGTGTGTTGAGGGGGCTTTTATTTCTAATGCACAGTTTTAGCTGGTCCCTCTGTCCTGTGGACCTCAGGTCTTGGTGAGTTGGGTCTGGTCCCAGCTTTGCCCACCATGCATTGCCTGCTCTGAGCAGATTCCGTGGGCTCTTCAGTTTATGGTGAGAGCGCCCTCTGGCTTGTCAGGAGAGCCACCACGTTCATCAGCACATTCAAGGCTCCGAGAAGTCCCACCCCAGGAGCTGGTTTCCTTGGGTTCATACAGGGTGACCCATGTGGCCATGGGACCCCCTTTAACCTTTTCATGCTCTGAAGTATGTGGCACCTGTAGGCCCTGCCAACTCTGACTTCCTGGGCCCCGTGTCTCTGGGGTGTGCATCAGGTGTCACCTGGCTGCCGCCCTGGGGGTGGGAGCACCTGTGGGCTCAGTCCTCTGGGGATTTGCGGCCTATCGGGGCAGGAGGGACGTTTGCACATTTATATGCAGCCTGACCCGCTCAGATTGTCCTCATTCCCTGCTTCCCAGACCCGCACATTCCAGTGGGTCAGTCAGTGAGGGAGAGGAGGGAGGGGACAGTGTGCGTGTGTGTGTGCGTGTGCGTGGAGGCAACTATGGGGGATGTGGTCTGAGGTGGGAGCAGCAGCCCAGGGAGGCGGGGGCAGAGTCAGGGGTGGGCAGTTACTTTATATGAGTAGCTCCCACAGGGAGTCGCTTGTCTGGGGTCTTCCCAGGAGTTAAAGGTTCCCATTTAAATCCCCTAGCCCTCTGCCACCGCCTAAGCAGGAGGGCCCCTCCTTGTCACCTGCCCTTTGTTGGGGTTCACAGAATTCTGGCCTGGGAAGCAGGGCCCCTGAGTTCTAGTTCTGACTCTGTGCAGGTCACCATCCTTCCCTCAGCCTCAGTTTCCCCATCCATGAGTGTGGGCCTTAGACCCGCAGCTCTGCAAGGGCCCTCTGGCTGGTGTTCCATAATATGGGGGGCCCTGGTTCTGAGCAGGGGAGTGGCAGTCCCACCCCGTGGGTCCCCCTCCGTCACAGTCCCAGAAGTATATAAGGAAAATCCAGTTGTGAGCAGAAGAGGGGCTGGTTCCGATCCTGTGACTAAGTGGCCGCCCAGTGAGGTGACAAAGCCGGCACACATGTCCAGCCAGTCGTCCGGCCAGGCACGACTAGCAAACTCAGGCTACCAGCTGTTGCCCCTGAGGGCTGCCGGGTGGGGAGGGCAGCCGGCTGCCCCCTCCTCCACCAGGGGCCTTGAGAGAAAGTCCATTTCAAGCCCAATTTAAGGTCAGACACAGGGAAACCTCATCCAGTTCCATTTAACAATTTTTAAAAAAACTTTCACCCATTTTAAGTAGAAATATAATACATGCCTATGGTATTAAAAAATTCAAAAAGCACAAAAGAATAGATGAAAAGTCAACCCCCGTCCCTCC